GGCAACCTGTGCCAGGGTCTCACCACCCTCATGGGGAAGAACTTCTTCCTAATGTCCAGTCTGAACCGACCCATCTCTGGCTTCAATCCATTCCCTCCAGTCCTGTCACTACCCGACACCCTAACAAGCCCCTCACCAGCTTTCTTGTACCCCCTTGAGACACTGGAAGGCCACAATAACGTCTCCTCAGAGCCTCCTTTTCTGCAGACTGAACAGCCCCAACTCTACAGCACCAGGTGTCCATTTGCTTCTTGCGTAGGAGAAGGTGGATCCCATTGATGTTGAAATGGTGTTTTTATTAAAGAGTAGTATAAATAACTTTCTTATTTATCACTGTGAAGCTGATTTTCAGCAAAGTGTAGAAACACCTTGCTGGTTCAGAAAATTCTGCAGATTTTGTTGACTTTCTTAAATGCACTCTAATATTTACATAAAATCACATGCACTGACCTTAATGTAATGAAATACCTTTCCAGCTCTGCAACATGGTAGTTTAAATCGAGTTTGGTATTAGTGTGGGTTTTTTTGTTCTCAGTGGCAGAATAGCAGATTGTCTCAGATCCTGTCTGTGCTAGCAAGTACTGCAGCCGAGAGGAGCAGATTTACACTTAAGAGACTGTTAAAGGGCTGAAGTCTGCTCTGTGTTCTTGTACTTGGGACTAGCTTTAACCAAGTCCCATGGGCTCAGTGGCTGGTTGGAGGTACGTATTTCTGAACTAAAGCTTGCTACATGGGGATGATCAGCAGAGACACTCAAAGCTCACACTTGGACAAATCCAAGTGCTAATTTAGAGTTGATTCTTGGGCAGTGATATGGTTTAGTAAGTTTGTTTGGTCAGGGTCACAGTGATCTGTGTGATACTCTCCAAGTGTGGCCAAGAATTAGAGCTGCATGTTAATCTAATCAGAAGGCAAGTTGAACATCTGACATCCTTCACAGGCAAAGTCATGGCACTGTGCCTTTGTGAAGACTGAATTTATAGAATCATTAAGATTGGGAAGGACCTCTAAGAACATCTAGTCCAACTGTCAACCCAGCATTACCATGACCACTAATGATACACTCTGTGCTGAAAATATTGTTAACTCCTGACACAGGAGTTAATGAATGATTGGCAAAACTTTAGTTTCGTAAGAGATTTTGGTTGAAGCTTAAGGCTTTGATCTAAAATCCAATGAAACACTGGGAACAGAGTTTTCCTAGTTCTTGAGTTAAATAACTAAAGCTTTTCATCTCCGGTCCTCAGCATAATTTAACTACATTTGAGAAGAGTTTAAAGAACAGTCATTATAATATTTCTTTTTAAAGGTTAAGAAAAGATATCAGCAATGAATTTAGAAGTCATTCTTTTAGCAGTCATCTTTGAAAGAATCCCTCATCTTTGTTTTAGAATTATAAATATTTTGACGCGAGACACTAGAAGGCTTTGTGCCTTTCTTTTTTATTTTCGTAAGCAAATTTTAGGCAATTGTGCTTTTGTCATTCTCATTCTAGTAAGTTCTGACTAGCAGTAGCTGTCACAGGCTTTTGGTTGTGTGGAAGGTGCTTCATTTTTGCCATCTTAAAAGCTTTGTCACATTCTTTCCTTTTAGAGCTATTTTCTCTGAATCCTTTCACTGACAGAAAGATGTAGAACAATGGGTGTTACTACAACTTATCCCTAGAGAATCCACATGGGATATGGATGTTCGAAATTTTATTTTGAATCCATTCTTGTGTCAAATTTTTCCTATAGAGCTTTTATATGCAGGGTCTAAAGACAGTGGAAGTTTGTCAGTTGGGCAGTTATAAAGGTCAAGTCAGATTGCAGCCTTATTATAGTTTTGATTAGAAGGATAGTCAGCTAGTAGATAGAAATTGATCTGTCATCTCTTGTCATTGAACATGTTTATTTTCAGAAGTATTTCCCCCCCACCAAAAAAAAATTTAATTGTTGTTTATATAATTTGATGTTGTAAAAGTAATATAAAGTGATGTGAAAGTTCTGCCTGATGAGATGGGAAAGGTTTTAACACAATGTGAGGGTTGATCTATCAGCGGCTCCGACTCAGTTCGGTGTACGGTTACAGTGATAGGGTGGTGTTTTGTGATAATAGAATTAATAGTATTTCTGAAGCATTTCTATACAATTAGGTTAAAGCTAAATTCATTATTTAGATTGTATGATTGTTAAATGGAAACTGTAAGCAAGTGCCCTCCTTGTCCTCTTCAGTGTTTTGCATGCGTACTCTTTTGCATGCATACTTTTTTTAAAGACTAGTGGGAAAAAGCATTCCTGTTTGTATTCTGGGACTGACATCACCCACGGAGAGACTGAGTTTCCCTTAACTAGGTGCATGTAGTTACTGTCATTATTTTGACGATAAAATTGTTATTTCAGAAAGGAAATAACTAATAAATGTAATGGAAGTGTCTTCCTGAATGTGCATTTTAGTAATAAGAGATCTTTCACTGTAGTCAGCAACACCGAATTTATGTAGGTGGAGAAAATGTTTCTCCTGAAAGGTTAATGGCAATTTTAACTCCAATGTCTTGTTGATGATGAATGATTCTTTTCTTCCCTTTCATACAAGCCTCTATCACTTCCTTAAAAGTTACCTCTGAGAAGTATAAAAGCAAGCCATTCCAAGGGGCATGTGCGATTGGAAAACCAGGAGAAGGAAAAAGGGTGGGAACAAAAGCAGACCTGAGGGAGTTATCTCAAAACTTACGTTATTGAGGGAAATGTTGATGTATCCAAACAACTTTTCTCTGAGCTGATATTTGCTCCAGAATAAATGAGAACAAACTAAGTATAAATATAACATAGCACATATTATTCCAGTTTTATCATCTTGGCTTTTTTTCCTGTTTTCCTGTGTTATACTACCTTTTAAATGAAAGGTTTTGCCACAGATTTAGTTATGCTTCTAATGTGAAAACAACAAATGGCTGGGAGTGGCTGGATGAGGGAAACAGTTGCTATTTTTGCCTTGTAGTTACCGAGTTTTGTATTTTTCCCTCTGCCAGATTCAAACTGGAAATTTTTAACTTCTTCTTTCACTTATTTAGGTAGCAGCGGGTTAGAGTTCCCTGAGGAAATCTGGCAGGCTCCTGTTGTACTGCTCCAGAGCAGCACAGCACGAACTTGTAATGTCACGTTCCATGTGGGACCCATCGTAGATAGGCACACGTGTATCTTCCTAGCTTTGCCTGTGTTGAACTGTTAGGAGTCATTTTCTGCAAAATAGTTGCTATTTCTAGGAAAATATTTGTTTTCAGTGGAAATACAGACCCTGAATTGGTTTTCCCTTGTGTAATGGTAATGGCAAATTTCTCCACTCGCCTGTGTGTCAGCTTGGCAATTACTTGCCAAGCAGTTTCTCTATGATGAACTTTGATTTACCTTGTCATCTTGTTTATCAACTGGCAAAAACTAAAACTAAGAAGAATCCATTTCTTATTTTCTGTTTTGCCCTTTATTACCATCAAAAGTCATCAAGGTGCAGTTGCATCATTCTTTCCCTGTAGTATAATTCACAATACATTAGCATGACATGTTTTTTTCCTAAAACTTGATGTTTAATATGCCTTTAACTTCTTGTCATTCAGGATGGTGATGAGTCATCTCCAATTTTAACAAGTTCTGAAATTGTTAAGATTCCAGATCCCCAGATGTCTATGGTAAGCATGCTCCATGTGATGCAATCTGTATTACAGTATTTCTGTTGAAGTTTTCATAAATGGAGCGTGTATTGCTGTCTTCAAATTTGTAAAATTTCAATGGAAGATATATTTGACTGGTTGAGAAATGTCAGTGGATTTGACTTTTTTTTTTGCTGCTAGATTAAAATACAGGAATTAATTTAAGGCTTATGTTAATCTCCTCCTTTCCATACCTGTTGTGCTTTCCTCTGAGGTGTAGGAAAGCAGACAAAGGGGGTTGTTGGCAAAAGAGATCAGAGGGTGGGAATATAAGTTGAGAGGGAGCTGAAAAAATTTAGAGGATGGTGCAGTAACTCTTGGTCACTTCTGTTAAAATATTTTCTCCCTACACTTTCTTGTATGTTGTCTTTCATGTAGACAGTGCCTAAGTACAATTCTAGAAAAGATTTCCATTATTGTGGATGCCAATTCAGTGGGACTGGTATTGGCAGCTTTGGGAACCTTAATGTAAGTGGGCTTCTACTGGCAACACTGTTTGAGCACTGTGTAATCTAACACTGCAAGAGCAAGTCTGACAATGCTGAAAACTGCCTTGGCTGCTGAAATCTCGTTGACACTGTGGCTCCTATTGTGGCTCCTACTGTTGCTAACATGGTATTAACAGTGGGAAAACTTTTTGAGATGTTTTTCCTGCATACAAAGCTTTATATTGCAAACTTCATCCTAAAAATGTTTATCAAGTGGCTGGCACGTTTTGGTGCTGTTGAAATCACGGATGTGTTGACTGAAACGCTTACGTTTTGCAGCGATTCACCAAAAGGTAAGATAGGGTTTGTAAATTATGTGAAGTAAAAAACAAAACAAAACAAACAACACCCAAAAACCTGCAGACAACCCTCCACATATTATTGAAGGAGTTTCTTCTGAAACAACAAGAAAAAAAACTAATCCAGAAGATGTTGTAGTTTTAGATGTGAATTTTAATTACCATGCATTATTCGTGGTACTAGTGAGTCTGCTAGATGGTTTTATTTCAGTAATAATTTTCTCTAGTGTTTTAAGTATTTATAATTACTGACTTACCTTCTGCATTTAGGAGAACTTAGTAGAAAGTAAACATCATAAGCTTGCTCGAAGTTTGAGGAGTGGACCTTCGGATCATGATCTGAAGCCTAATGCAGCTACGCGAGATCAACTTAATGTAAGTCAGTCATATGCTGGATAGATTCAATTTTATTGGGTAGTTCGGTATTAATATATGGTGACAACAATTTAGGGAAAATACAGTCCATTTCAGTTTATAGGAAGTCATTAATAAAGAAATGTTAAGTGCTTCTTACAAGTGTGTAGTTAGATGGGTCCAACTCGGGAGCAGAAAGGACTTGCTCATTTTTTTTTTTTAAAAACAGCTGTAGCGGGTTTAAGAGTGCATATTGTGTGTGTATCATGTAGGTGTTACTGATAGCCTTGAGGAAACTTGCTGATGCTGCCATTTCAATAGACAACTGAGGAACATCACTGTGATGGCATGAAAACTTTTGTTGTTGGAAAGCTTTTTTTCCCCCTAGCTATTTTTGTTTGAGTATTGTGCTTTGTTACAGTGTTAATTATGACTAACTTGTTTATTGTGCCTGTTCATGTTTTTAACTCACTTTCTGACTATGTATCTAATAGATCATAGTGAGTTATCCACCGACAAAGCAGCTAACGTATGAGGAGCAGGATCTAGTTTGGAAATTCAGATATTACCTTACTAATCAGGAGAAGGTAAGTTGAATGATTTGAGAGGACTTAGTAACACAAGAGATGTTTAATCTGCCACTCGCTTTACAATGTCCTGTCCTTGCAGAGATACAGACTTTCTGTGTCTTAGAAGCTAGTCAAAATTATTTTCACTTTTTCTACAGTGTTACTGATTTAAAAATTAATGAGTGTAATTTTCCCTCTTAAATAAGGTGAACTGGCTATTACTATGGCAGTATTTCTACAAACACTGACTGTTAACTTAAAACACTCATGCTACCAATTTTATCTTCAGCAAAGAAAAATTATTGAGAGGAGCTGCTTCATCCCTTCTAGACAAGGGTTAGCTTTACCAGAATAAGTAGCAGCACACCAAAACGAAAGTAAAATAACTAAATAATCCATCAGGAGTGGGCATTTTTTATGTAGTGGTAGTTTTAGTAGAGCAGTAACCATTGACTTTACATTTTACTTGTACCATAACTCAGCTGCATTTTTTTAGGACATGTTAAAACAATCCAATATTGTATTGTCACATCAATAAGGTTTCCCAGGTCTCTGCTTATGTAAATATAGTCTGAAATTCTTTCTACCTTGAAGTGAAACATGAATTTCTGAAATAATTTGTTTAACCTGGCATTTCACTGATGAATTACCTCAGTTGATTAGAGCGTGGTGCTGATAACATCAAGGTCACAGGTTCGATCCCCGCTCGGTCCCCATGTGTTGCCTGATCTAGCTGAGAGGCGTCCCTGCCGATACAGGGAGGTTGGATTAAATCATCTCTGAGGTCCCTGCCAGCCTAGGTCATTCTGTGATTCTGTGAATTGTCCAATCTTCTTCTATTTAGGCCTTGACAAAATTCTTAAAATGTGTCAACTGGGACCTGCCACAAGAGGCAAAGCAAGCACTGGAGCTGCTGGGCAAGTGGAAGCCTATGGATGTGGAAGACTCTCTAGAACTTCTCTCCTCTCACTTCACCAACCCAACAGTTCGGCGCTATGCTGTTGCGAGGCTTCAGCAGGCTGATGATGAGGTATTCAGTGGTCTGGGGGTACATGTGGAAGCCAGCCGGTCTCAGTTTCATTGAGTATTTGAAATGTTCACTCATTTTTAAGGCATTAGAGCAAATGATAGCTATAGAAAACTTAAAATCACTGTGATGCTCTGTGCTGTAAGCTTTTCATGGAGCAAAGTCTTCACAACACTGAGTGGCACTCGTGATAATGGTCCTGGTGTGAACAGACAGTGGCTGCTGATTTTGTCGAACACAGTGAAGCAACCATATGTTCTCTCCAGAAACCAGTGATACGTTTTGAATGTTAAGGTGCATAGAACTGCTCTGAACTTCAGTAGTCTACTGATAAGATTTTCAGCAAATCCACCTGGTAAATTGAAACAGCATATCATCATACTCATGTGCTAAAGAAAGTGAGTAGAAAAGCATCTGTGGAAATAATGTGTTTATAATTGTATACTGATTAGAATATGATGAGCTATGATTTGTGAGTAGAGCTCACTTAATAAATGCTAATCTGTTAAATTTAAATTATTTATATATTTTATTTTCTCTTCACAGTAAAAAAAAAAACAAACACCAAACCCAGCTTTGAATGTATTACTGTAACTCTTGCATTCTTTGCAATCAATAGACTGTAAAATAAGGAGCATAAATACATCAAACTTCTGCAAGTCTGCCTCAGTAGCCAAGGTCATGCAGCTTTGACTTTAAAAATGTATCTCTTAGAAAACATTTGAAGGCAACTAAGCAGAGCAAGTTGAATAGTAAAGAGCACAAATTGATTATAAACAGCAAGTGATTAAAATTCTGTTCTTCAATTTAAAATAGATCGAATATGTCAGGTTTTGTAGATCCTCAGCTACACAAGGGATAAAAAAAACCCAAAGCATAAGATTTTGTGCTTGAATTTTCTTCTTGGGAGCCACAAACTGAAAGATTTATTTTACAAATGCTGGAAGCAAGTAGGGCAGCTTAACTAAAAAGAACTTTAAAATAGTAATTGCACTTAAATATTTTACTTATTTAGCGCTTACTACCTTTGAGTAACAAAAACTCAATAGTGTGATATTTCAGTGTATTTTGGGACTCAAACTCCATTCTACAGCAGTTTTTCTACTGTTGCTGGGGAAACCACAGTTTCAATTTCTTTATGTCCTACTAAATCTTAATTGTTTTTCTGTAAATCAGAATTTTGAAAATATGGAATCCTAGTCAGCTTTGACTGACCCTCTCACTTCTTTTTAATTTTTTTTTTTTTTTTTTTACTCCCTAAGGATTTGCTGATGTACCTGCTACAGTTAGTCCAGGCTTTGAAATATGAAAACTTTGATGATATTAAGAATGGACTGGAACCTAGCAAGAGGGACAGTCAAGGTTCAATGTCAGAAAGCATGACAACATCTGGAACTAATGGTGCTGAAATAGACAGGTAAGAAACCTAGATTTGCGCTAGAAAAGCGTAAGCCCTCAAATATTTTCTTCTTTTTAGAGACTGTTGCATATTCACATCCAATTATTTGTCGATGCAGTGACATAAAAAACAAACAAAAAAGCATCAAAAACCACAGACAAACATACAAAAAAGCAACCAAAAGATTAACCCCTGAGCTTTCCCATAATCTATTTTCTGACTACAGACAGTTTACAGAGCAAACATTCTTAATCTTGAAATTGTGGCCTTTTACTTTACAGTATGAAAGGAAGACAGTTTTCTGAAGAGGAGGAAGAACATTGGCATTGCTTCCTTTTGTCCTTCTGTAAAAGTTAGGATGCCTTCAGTGAAGTTATATGAGGCTCCAGTTTCCACTTTTCTCAGAAAAATGGATCTAGAAGTTGGATCAGTCTGAAATGTAAAGAAATTGGAAAGAAGGTGTAGGAAGAGACTTGTGAATGTAAAGAAGCTGAGGGAGCAGACTTTTTATTGTTGTAGGAACCCAAAAGAGAGGCTGAAATATCTAATTAAGGTAGAATTAAGCGATGTGCAAACAAACTTGGTGAACTGAAGACTCCCTGTGTATATTTCGTATGATTTTCCAGGATTTTTAGTCTTATGCCTCAGTGTCTAAGCACTTGTATCACTAGAGTATACTTTTCATGTTACAAGTAAACTGTTTTTCATTGATCTTGCTGTACAGTGGGTGTCCTGGAATGTATGGTGTGTTTCCTGGCTGCAATGGCACTTAGACATTAGTAGGGCTGTTTGATTACTTCTTTTCAAGGTAAATTTAGTGTCTGATAGTTTTGCCTCACAGGCATTGGGTTTGTCAGCTCTGTTATGTGTAATTGCAATCCAGAGATGTGTGCTTGCAGGTGTTATGTATTAGCAATTTCATCTTAAGAACGTTCCAAAAAAAAAAAAAAAGCTTATCCTGAAAACACAGATTTGCTAAATTCCCATCTATATCTGCTGGTTTATTATGGAAAATAGAACAAATTCTAAGCTAGATGTAAGGGAATGTCCTTCACAGCCATATACTGTGGCTGTCCAGGCACAGATTTTTTCTCTTTTCAGGAACTGCAGCTGTCAGAGTTGCTGTTCATGCAGTTTGTTCTTAAATGGGCTTTGAGCCACTATCTTCAGAGATACTTCTCTTCCAGTTTTCCAAATTCATTGTGCGGTAGAAGTGAAATATGTTGCCATTTCCATGCATGCCCCAGGCCCCAAGCAAGACTTTGAATCATGCCAACTACTTGCTTTCCTTTATGTAGTTCCCAGATTATGACTCCTATTCCACCTGTTTCCTCACCACCTCTCACTTCTAAGACGAAGGAGCTTGCAGATAGTGAAAACCTTGATGTAAGTCAAATGCTTTACTTTGTATTTTTGAAACTTTTTTTTAGTGACCTGGCATTGGGTTTAGCTTTTTGTTTGTGAATATTCTACTGCATCTTGCTGAATACTTAAAAGTCCTCAAAGAATATGAATGTAAACTAAATGCAAAGAAAACAGTCATAGCTTAACTAGACTTTTTTTTTTTAATATAGGCCATCTATTTATGTGCACAGTTGTACTGGCCCAAACTGGGGTACTAGGAATTGACTACTTCAGAAAATTAAAAGTACTGTCCTTTAGAGGAGAAAATTACTGAGAGGCTGTCGCATGCTGATTAGATACTGGCAATTGCATGTATTTGAGGTGTTTTAAAATAGGTTTTTAATGGAAAACAGTTATCCAAATGTTTCAATTTCTGCAGCCTGTTCTTCCTGTAGCCATATTCTTTGTCATGGGTGTCATCATTTTTGAACCTAAATGGGACACTGAGCTGATTTACGTCTGGCAAGAATTATGCTCAATTTATACCACAAGTAGAAGAGTAATAAGAATGAGACTGAAGGGAGGGAAAGTTAGAAGGTAAAGATAGTTTGAGGGAATCTGATTTTAATCTCATGTGCACTATAGTTGGTCTCTGAACTAAAAATCCATTCCCTGTTGAAAATCTTCTTTTTTGAGTCTCAGTGCTGCATAGAAAATGAGCCTCACTTTGAGCATATTGGTAAAGATGCACAGATTTCTTGTCTTGGAATATTAAACCTTTAAAAAGCAGCTAAATGCTATGTATCCTCTACAGATTTTTTTCTTTATGTAAAAATGTAGAACATCTTAATGAGTTCTGGATCTTCTAGTTGCAAAACAGGGTAGCAAATCCCTTTCAGGGTTGAATCTTGCAGCAAGTGCTAATTGCATAGGGGGAAATTGTAATTAGAAACTTCATTTTAAAGATTTATTGTTGGAGAACATCAGCTTTTGACATGTCAGTAAATATATCGCTGTAGTAGCACACCTTTTTTTACTTCTGTTGTTGCTGAATTTGGAGTAATATTAAAACTAATATGATTTAAATATTAACTTGGCTTGGATTCAAATTTTAGAAGGCAATATATCTCTCAGAACTCCCTACAATTATGTGTTTATTTTTCCTTAACTTTGTCTGTCTCTCAAGTGCTTAGACTTCTTTATAACTTAATTTTGCTTTTCTTAAATCCCTTCCAGCAAGACCTTTGCACTTTCTTGATATCACGAGCATGCAAAAATTCCACATTGGCCAACTACTTGTACTGGTATGTTAGAAAGTATTTATTCCTACTGTTTCAATGTCTGATTGAAATCAAATCTATAATGCTCAGAAGGATGCACAGTAAAGGATGACCTGTCTTGAGAACTTGAGAATCTCAGTTTCTCTCAAAATGAAGTAATAGATTTAAAACGTTATGCATTTGAATGTAACACTTGGTAAAATCAGGACACTTTTTAAAAAAAAACATGTGACCATGCTTTACTGTTAGATGAAGGAAGGTGATTTGTAGGTCAAAAAAAAAAAGAAAACTAGTTTAAAAACTGTCATTCAGATGTTTTTGTGGAAGTAATTTTTCTGCTTCGCTTTTCTGTTCATAGTTTTTGACAGTATTGGCTAGAATATTGAAGTGTTAGTCAGGAGTGTACTTTATAAAGGTTCATAAAGCACTTTTTTAAGCTAATCTGATTTTGTTTTTATATTCCATTTCTGGTTAGGTTATAAGTGTAAACAAAATGTCATTGCAATTGTGTACTTTTATAGGGGAATCTTTAGTTGTGAATAGTTCGTCTATATAGCGGAGAGGTAAGATTACTTAGCTAAAAGGATCTTGTCTCACTTCAGTACTTTAAGAATTAAATTAGATGCCTAAACTAGTTGTCTGCATGCCTTCTGAGTAAGCATTTGCAGACAGGAACTATCTTGTTTGAAGAAAGCTGAAATTAGTAGAGGTTTACTCTGTGAAAGTGTGTGTGTGTATTTGTATGTATTGTACAGTTCCTTAGTGTACATCTCTTGCATTGGCCAAAGATAAAGCTTGCCTAATGCTGTTCAATGTAAATGCATAAAATGATTTCAGACTGACTTAATGCGAGTAGAAGCAAAATGCTTGATGTGATCAAATATTCGTCATTAAGATAAGTGTTAGTAGACTAGCTTATTTCTATGATACTGATAGAAACTCCCTGCTTACATTTGACAACATCTCAGATACTCAGTGTGCAGGAAGTTTGAACATCCAGAACTCTACATTTTTTGTCTTATGACTTCCAGGAAAACAACCACCACCAGACAACAACAAAAAAAACCAGTCAAATTATTCTTTTTCTCTCCAGACATCTCAATTTCTCAGTGACAAAAACAAAGGTTGCAGCCACCGTTTGAGCTGACGTAGCCATAAATCGTCTTGGTTGCTGATCAATTGCTTGTTTCAACTATCCAGACACAGCATGCACCTAAAATAATCAATGGAAAAAGTACAATAGCCCCTGAAAATCAAACCTCCTGCTCAGTCACTTGTCATTATAGAGCTATCCTATCCTTATCCTTTAACCTCAACTACAGAAGTCAGTGCTACTGCTTTTTTCTGTCTGTCCTTTTGGACATATGAGACACCTTTCCAAGTATGAAGCATTACTCTTACTCCTTATTTCCAGATAGCTTTGGAAAACTGTCTAGATCTTTTTGACAAATGAAGGTGAAAATGACGTGTCAATTTATTGCTTCCTATTTTCCTTGAAGTTTTAGAGCTCAGGTTTTGTAAACAGGGACTTACTTTTATACTAATTTTAGTTTTTTTAGTGAGGGAATGCTGCAAAACAATGTGTTAGTGACATCCTAGAAGTAGTCTTTAGTTGCAGATTTGATTGAGGTAGTACTCATGGAATAAATTACATATGCCTTATTTTAGTCTGTATCATATATTGTTTATTTACGAGAGTAGTCAGATGCAATCAGCTGCAAATGACAGACTTGCAATCTTGTCCCATAATCATTAAGTGGCAAATTCTGCAAAAGTGCATAAGAAAGGGATGATTGTAGCTGTCAGTGTGAAGTCCAAGTATGTTTATTGAATATGTGGAGTCATTTCCGAATCCAAATGTAGTGTTTGAAAATCGACTAGCTTACTTGTTTCTTCTGTTTCTTTAATAGTGGAGTTAAATGTTTTTACTGGATAGTACTGAGTTATATTGACAGCAGAAAGGAGACTTTCTGTGCATAGCTACATTTTGTTTGTGCTGTGAATATGAATAAGCTAAAAAATATTCCAAACAACTGCTTAACTTCTCAAAATAAATTTTCAATGTAACTGTACCAGTTTGTACTGTTTAAATCTAGTATCTGAATTTAATTTCAGAAATAAAAACTTACTTTGGAATATAGACTTTGCAGAGTGGCTGCAGGACCAGTACTGCCTCTTCCACCATTGCTAATGGTAGAGTAGAGAGCAGGTAGGGTGAGATTCGCTTTGGTTTTGCAGGTATACTTGAGTAGCAAGTTGGCAGCTGCTACATTATGTAGAAGGTAGTAGAGCAGTGGAATGCCTGTTCCTCCCATGTGTACTGCCTGATGGGAGTGCTCCTACGATTTTGACTTCTGACTTGTCCTGTTTGAGTGATGCCACTTCAGTGTAAGAACTCAAACTTTGTTAGGTTGTCCTGATTCAAGGTGGAAATTTGTGACCAGGCAATTCTGAGGAGTTCACGTGTTAGTTGAGATAGAGATCTCATTCAAAGATTGGCTTTATTTTTAGTTCTAGGTCTATATATAGTGCAGGACCCCTGTATTTCACTCAAATTGTGTAGCACCAGTGTAACTGGGGTTGTTTTTATGCTGCAGGTATGTAATAGTGGAATGTGAAGACCAAGACACTCAGCAGAGGGACCCAAAGACTCATGAAATGTACTTAAATGTGATGAGAAGATTTAGTCAGGCTTTGCTGAAGGTAACGCATGGTGGTTTTGGGGTAGTCATCTTTTAAAAAGGTACAGGTAGAAACCTGATGATGAAAGGGATTTTTTATGTCATGTACAAGGAAATTTTAGAAAAGCTTCCTCTTTTGCTTATAATTTTGAATTTGTGGTAAACCAGAGAAACTACTGAAAAAGAAAAGAACAAGTATTGAGAACTTTCCCCTGTTTTATTGCTTATTCTTCTTAATAATATTCTGGGCCTAAAATTCTGTGCCTTGTATAATGAATCTGTTTTATTTACTATTTTTTTATTGGAAGCATTTGTCCTTGCAGTGCAAATGGGAGGCAAGAGACCCACCTTTCCAATTCAGTGTTGTTCTGTGTATCAGCAGCAGAGGGTGCTGGAGCAGCAGAGAATAAAACACCATCAAAAAAACTTCTATGAGTTGCGAGCGGTAGTTTGTAGCAGATGTGTAGTCTTTCCTGATTTCATGTATCTTGCACTTCCTGATTTTGGGGATGATACCCAAATCTGACCCTTCATAAGAATATTCCATGTGCTTATCCTTACTAACTTATTTTGGCTGTGTGAATAGGTATGTCATGCATGACTGTTCACCACTGAAATTGTTGATAGAAATTGAAGTGCACTGGTAGGTCAGATGATAGATTGCTAGCTACAGTGATTCTGATTGTGTTTTCCAGAAAAAAACTTTCAAATTGACAGGAAATTGATCATTATTCATTTACCTGTTAAAAACCCAAAGGTCAAAGAATAAAGGAATAATTTCTAGATAAAATAATTACAGAACAAAGAACTAATTTTGCTTCTTTTAATTCACTTAGGGTGATAAGTCAGTCAGAGTTATGCGTTCATTGTTGGCAGCCCAGCAGACGTTTGTAGATCGGCTGGTTCATGTAATGAAAGCAGTGCAGCGTGAAAGTGGGAATCGCAAGAAAAAGGTAACTAAAGGATTAAAACACTTATCTCTGGCTAGAAGTTGACAATAGCGACATTAGCTTTTCACTAAAAGTTCTTAGCACTGGGATTTGTAGGAGGTCTCCATCTGTCTTAGCTAGCTTTAAACAACCTTTGAAGAGGTTTAGATAGATTGAAGTTCCAAAATGTTCCAAAAGTTTGCAGATGAAAAACAAAAAGGGCCCTTGAGAAGAATTTTGGGGTATTATGGCAAAGGGAAGATATGAGAATAACTGAATAGTTGATAATACAGCAGTGAGCAAGTCGTGGGGGATGTGGGATAGTGGCAGAGGTAATTGTGGTGTGAGAATTATGCCAAGGTAGATGATGCACTTTGACTAGTAGCAAGGTTGCATTTCTTCCAAAAGCAACAAAACTGTTCTTTTATACGGTGTGTGTTTGGCAAAACGTTTCCTTCTGTTGTGTCTTGAGGAAAAAGATTTACATCATAGGTGCATTTTAATAAGCTTTGTCCTTCTGAGTGAATATATTATAAGTGAACTTTACAGATGTGTACAGGGCAGGATTTCTATTCATGTATTTTCTTTTCCTCTGACACACATCAGTATTTTTAAACATGGAATTTTCAGTGTAATGAGTTTTGTCACCTTCTTTAAATCTGTGGAGTATATTTGTGTAAGAAAATGAAATGCTTAAGTGTTGCATCATTTTTATGAAATTTTACAAATGTTCTATATATCAGTAATAAAGGTAATCACTAAGCGGAAGGGTTTTTCAATTTGTGAGAATGTATTTTGCGGTTGTGCAATATATTGGTAATGTTCTGCCATACATTCTTTTATAGTTGCCAGGGCATTTCGGCAAAACTAACACACATGACTTTGATTTTTGGATTAAAATTTACCTAGCAACAATTAACTACTGGAAATACTCCGAACAGTAGTGGGTTACCTTGCTGTGTGTTTGTGCCTGTTTCATTCATTGGGGGAAAAGGCAAGAGACTTTAATGTATTTGAACTTTATTGTGTAGGACACTGAGTGTAAAGTACTCAAAAATTGACTGATAGTGTGTTTCTGGGAAGTACAAATGTAGGAATACAGAACAAACCCTGAAACTGGATCTGTGCAAGCTGCTAGCAGTTTGGTTCCTTGGTGATGCTGGATCTCCTTGAGTCAGACATTTAAAGAATCAGAGCTGAAGATGTGAATCAGGTTTCTGAAGCAGAACTAACATTTGATTCTGGTATGGAAAACACATAACCCTGCTACTAGTGAAGGCAGTGTAGAAGGAAATTTTTTTGTGACACCATCATAGATCACACAAAATTGCTTGACTGTACTCAGACTAGGTGGAGTATCTGCTTCCCTATTCAAATTACTGCAAATAGAGATTTCACCGGATTTTAGGATTTAAACCTTGTGGAAGAGTCAAGTATTGAATAAATTCAATATTAATAAATCCTTTCTTAAAAGGCTTCCTGACTATTGTATATACCTAGTATATGTTTTACGGTTACTTTTTTAAAAAAAACAGAACATGAACAAACAAGTTTTTATTCTTCTCTTCTTTTAGAATGAGAGGCTTCAGGCATTGCTAGCGGATAATGAGAAGATGAATTTAGCAGATATGGAACTTATTCCACTTCCTCTGGAACCTCAGGTGAAAATTAAAGGGATAATCCCTGAAAAAGCCACACTCTTCAAGGTAAACAAGATCTAAATAGCTGAAATGCAACCCTATCTTAAGAGCACGAAGCATAGAAATACCAGTTGAAAGATTTAAAGAGCCTGACGTAATGTAAATGTAAATGCACTGTACTCTTAAAGTGACTAAACAACTGCTTGGTTTTCCTTTGTGGCTCTTATTTACAAGCAAATGTTCAAAATTTAAAACAGCTTTTATAAGGCTGTGAAGTTTATGAAGGTTCCCATGCTCAAGGGAGCTTCCAAGTTCAGAGTTTCTCTGAACTTCTATTTGTGTCCAACAGAAACGTGTCCACAGAAATGCCACTTACGAACAAAGTACTACAAACCAAATGAGGTGTGCTGCATCTCGTCTAGATGTATCTGTCTCTTCCCGTGCAAAATAATCTGTTACACTGGTAGAGACTGGAAGGCAATAAGGTGGTCCATTTCATACAGTTGCAGTGTGCTAATGGGTAAATCCTGTATCCTGATGGTTTGTCAGTCCTTAAACCAATCCTCAACAGCAGCTGTATGTTTTCTGTCAAAAACGATAGCTGAACTTGATCAGGACAAACTCGCTGTTCTGCGTATTAGTCTTCTGTAGCAATATAGAAAATAAGAAGATGTAACTTGTTTTAAAGTCAGACATGGTTTTGAATCTCTTGATTCTGAAAGATTACAGATTTTGATTTAATCTCTCGTTCTGTACTATGATTTAAGAAATGAACAATCCCAAAGAGGGCAGAATCACTAGTTTTTGGTGCTCTTGGACATCATGTGCCAACTTTTGTATGAGTGTTAAAAGAATCATTTTTCCTTTATTTATGGAACTCAACAATTTTGAAACCTTCATTGCATATGAAAATCAATTATTTTCACTCTTAAACTCTGTATCTTTGATTATTGTTTTGTTTTTGTTTTGAGGGAGGTGACACTAAGTCAGTTGCAATAGATAAAATCATTCATGTAGGTAATCAATCCCCTTGAACCCATTTTATGCAGAGAAAATGCAAACGATTAAATTGACTTTCTCAAACAACGTTGTAAAAAGGCATTTTTGCTTTTACTAAATAGATTAAGGAAGCAATTAATTGTTTAAGATGTCTCGCCCCTAGCATTTCTTTGATGTTTGTCCTATAATTGTGTTTCTTTGATACGGTCAGTGGAAATTTGTGTTGTTGTGACCTTTTGCACGGTGCTTCTGTGTTGATTTGAATTAGATGCATACAAGCAAAACTTGAATAGATCTTTTCTGTTGCTGAGGGGCTGGTGATCATACGGAGAGGAGTGTGTCCATTGCTCTTCATCCTTAAAAAAACAAAGCAAACCTTAAGGTTGGATGTGAGTTGTTTTGATTGGTTTGGGGTTATTTGTGTTTTTTTTTTGTCTGTTATTTTTTTTGTTTGGGATTTTTTGTTTGGTTTTTTTTATTATTTTTTCTTGGTTTTTTTAATTTTTTTTAAAGTGCCTAGGTCACACTTTTGTTAACTGTTTAGTCGTTGACAGCAAAGTAACTGCTTTTAGAAGCTTTAGAATTGCTTCTTTTCTACCCAGCTTGAATATGAGAATAGCTGCACGCTGTTGGTATTCAGATATGGCTACTCTAAACCTTTGAATTTGATACTTAGATCCTGTGACCTGATACCTGCTTAATTCACTTCTGACCTACAATGCAGAAAACAAAGGTTTAGGTTTTAAAACTCCATTGTAACAGAATATTACTAGGAACATTGCTATGAACCAACTTAGTAGAGCAAGTTTTCGTTTTGCAGAGTGCCTTAATGCCTGCTCAGTTATTCTTCAAGACAGAAGATGGAGGCAAGTATCCAGTAATTTTTAAACACGGTGACGATTTACGTCAAGATCAACTTATTCTTCAGATTATTTCACTCATGGATAAGGTGAGAATTACTACCTACATCGTTGTCCTTCTGTGTTCTTGATTTTCCTTTTCAAGAGCAAGACTATTAAAAACTGTTAATGCTTCTTATCTTGCTGATTCATTTCAGGATTCTCAGATCTTGGGTGACTTTTTTTCATTTCCTTACAGACAGGCAATGGTTCTGTGTAGATTTGAAAATAAATAAATAAATAGACAAGCAGGCTTTCACTCATTACTAATTTCAGTGAAGATCAGTGGAGATTAATGTCCAATACACTTGTCTTTTAGAGGTAGAAGCTGCTTTTCTGCTGCATTCATCTTTGCTTTTGTGGTTGTTTTTTTTTTTTCTTTCCCCCAGCTGTTAAGAAAAGAGAATCTGGATTTGAAGCTGACACCCTACAAAGTGCTGGCAACTAGTACAAAACATGGTATGAATACTTTTATTTCCTAGAAATACATGATTGGGAGGGATCTTCTCCCTCTGTTCATGGGCTGTGTTGTGATACACTATTTTCGTGAGAGATGTTTTGCTTAATAGAGCGTGTACTTGGTAGAGCTCAAATGAGTGAGAAAATCTTGTTGTGATGTAAGTCATGGAAATAACTTGAATGACCACAGTATTCAGTAGGTTACCAAACCACCTGCATAAAAGAAGGCTGTTCTGGATTTTGAAATGAGCGACAATCAGTACTCTTGTCTCTGCTGCTAGCTTGGGGTGTGATTGTGGACAAATAACTTTAACACTCCTATTTATAAATCTTTGCATGAAACGGAGGGGGGAAGAAAAAACCCCAAGGCAAAACAGACTTGGCTATGCTTTTAGATACATTCTGGATAAATATTTAGAAAGTAGTTGATTTACATATTCTGCTCATGAAAACTTGGAACAACATGCCTTTTGCAAACTAATTTCGTGTTAATTACGGTGTTTTAAAACCACTGAAGGCAGAAAATCAGGACAAAACATGTTTTATTGAGAATAAGAAGCAGTTGATTGAAAGTGCTTATTAGTGTTGTCCTTATGTTACAGAGTAGCTTGAAAGTTCTATGTATTGGAGGTTTTCTCTTCTGTTTTTTTTTTGTCACAGGCTTCATGCAGTTTATTCAGTCAGTGCCAGTTGCAGAAGTTCTTGCTACTGAGGAAAGTATACAGGTATGTGATGGGGGCCTTTTAGATTGTCTTCTGATGAAACAGCATAAATGACAGGTTTAGATCTCAAAGAAAAGTATTTAGTCTCTCAACTGATTTTTGTATTCGTTGTCAGAAGACGAATTACAGCAAATTATGTGAGAGTATTTACAGCAAATGTTTTGCTTTAAAAAATATACTTAAATCCCATGACAGTAGCTAATGTCCTAAAAATAATACTATTTAAATAATACTATTTAAATAATTTAAATAATTCTATTTAAATAATGCAGTTTAGTTGTGATACGGAAATTCTGGCTTTGCTGAAATGGTGAATGGAAGATGCATGATGCTCTTCTGTACTGTTTTGTTTTGAAGTATTGCCATCATTCATTCACCAGTTTTGGTATGATATCAAGTAATATTTTAAGGATTTAAATAAACAGCTAAATAATTTGGTCATAGAATAGTTTGTTTCCTGCCATAGTGGATATATAGGTACTGTATGATTTTTTTAAATTTGTTTTTACTTTTTTTTTAGCAGCATTTCTGTGACTGTCATCAAATTGAGTAGAGACACATGATGAAATAGTGGCACACACAATTCATGCTAATTTCAAGCAGAGCACACAGGCTTGGTAGCAAAGCTCAACTGGTTGAGATAAATATTGTTAGATAAAAACATAACCAATTGTCATATGAGCTATATAGCTAATAAGTTGGGGTTTTTAATGAAAAGACGGCATTTTTATGTTGGTTTCAATTTGTCACAGTAACTTTTTTTCCTGTGTTTTTTTTTTGGTAGTTGATAGTGAAGTTTGCATCTGCTCATAGTTCAGTAACTGGAAGCCAAAGCAAATAGCTCCTGGCTACAAAAAACTACATGTATTAAAATTACAAAGATTAAAAAATGCTTATCATTTGTCATTATTATTTGTTTAACAGATAAGCCTATCAAGTGCTTATCATTCATCAGAGAATGATTGGCATCAAGTTGCATAAGTTTTTTGAGCTTTCCATTCCATACAGATTGCTATAAGCTATATCTACACATTCAATAATCATACAGTTTTATAAAGTGCTTTCTTGGCTATCCTTTCTAATTTTGAAATATACTACACGTATTCTAGTCCATTCTCTGTTTTTATAAAAAAAAGATATGTTTGTGAAATTGTCATTTTACAGTTACTTCCAACATCATATTTCTTTCTGAAGTAGGTGCCCCACTGGCTTATCTTCTGTACAGATATAAGGAGCAGTCCTTCCTGTGATAATTGCTAATCTAAGTAGACAAGACATCAGAAGGGTGTGATCTGAGATTACTTCACAAATCAGTGGCAAAATGGGCTATAGAGCCCAGATTTCCTGTGCCAATTCATGATAAAATTGCTGGGCCAAAGAAATAAAAACTCAATGAACATTTTAGGTGTTGGGAAAGTTTGGTTTATTTTTTTGCGAATGTTCCTTTTTGGGTTTAACAGCAGTTTTTATGAACATGGGCACTATCTGTAAATATTTAAAATGCTGTTCAGTTTGAGAAGATTTTAAGTGAATGTTGTGCTACTGGATGGTAATAAAGAACTGCAAGAAAGAAAAGGTGTTTTGAAGTTCAAATGTAAATTACTTCTAACAACAATCTTTAAATTAGTTCATATTTTGGGGATATTTCTGTTTCACACTCTGCTGTTTAGTGGTTGGATGGTCTGAAGTGTTTGTGGGTTTTGTTGGGGTTTAGTTTTGGGGCTTTGCTGCTTGTTATTTTTTAGGTACAGCGTGTAAAATTTCTCTCTAGTACCCTGTTGACCAGTTAACAATTTCCTTCCCAGTTTAGTTTAGGGATTTCATTTAACAGAATCTTAGGTTTTTTTACCATATGTCAGAAAGACTTGTTTCTCTGAAACAAAGGTAATTAAGGCTTTCTCAGGCCTTAAAATTCTGGTATGTGTTACAATAGGACTGTTTTTCAAGCAAAACTTTTCTCGAATAGCCTGTGGGTACTGTCCTTCAGCAGCTCCTCTTTTTTTAAGATGCTATTCATTCTTTCATTTATGGTTTTAGTCACTTACATGTCATCCAGATGCCTACGAAGCTCTTCTTACAGTGCTTGTTTGTACTTCTGTTTGCTTACTGGAAGAAACTGGTACTTAGGCTTGGATTTAATTTTGTGATCTTTCATCACTGTCAAGAAAAACAGTTTTATTCTGAGTGGTGGGAAGAGCCACTACTACTATTTCCCAGGAAATATGAAATGTCCATTAGCTGCCTTAGATTTTCCTTTTAAACTCAGTAGTGGTTATTAGTGGTTATTTGTATTGAGAAATATGGAGACATACTATAATGATAAACCTTGTCAGGGTGTGTGTCCCAAATGTAGTTACTGATCTGGACTGATAGGCCGGGTTTAGTTTTTGTTGATCTGGCCTAAGCAGTTTCCCATGGAGGTATTTGCACTCATGCGTTGTTAATTTTCTGAAGCTGTTAATAAAGAAAAGTACTTTTCAGTCTCAACTTCAGATCTGTTTCTCTTGAGTGTAAGAAGGTGATAAAGCAGACGAAGTATTACAAAATTAAATTAGATCTTACTGAGTGGTGTTAATTCAGCAGATGGTAGTAACAGCCATTTGTGGTCTTGATTTAATTATTTATTTTTCTATGAGTTCTAAAGATTCTGTTTCAGATTATGTGGAATAACCAAACCTGTTCATTACTTCCCCTGCAGAACTTCTTCAGAAAACATGCACCTAGTGAGACTGGCCCTCATGGAATAAGCGCAGAGGTGATGGACACGTATGTGAAGAGCTGTGGTAAGTTACAGTATATATATATACTTCCTATCTGAAGTATAAAGCACAGGATAGGTGATGAATTGACACAGTTAGTTTAGATAACTACAAGTAGATCACTGTGCGTGTACTTGCTGTCGGAATCTGTGAAAAGAATTTTTCTGAGCCTGGCATGTCATACACAATTCCTCTCCTCAGCTTGCTTTTAGTTCTCCCTCTGGGAGGCTAGAAGTTAAATACTTTTCTAGCAATAGTCTTGCCTCTGTCCCCTCTGCATCGTGATTTGGGGTTTTTATAATTCAGAGAGATAGAAACCATTTGTATAATAATAAGTCATCTATATTGAAGATAGTTTTTAAAAACAAGTTAAAATTTTCTATTTTTTGGGGTGAGGTGGGGCTACATTTAACTTCTTGTTAGCTGACAAGAAAAAGTGGTAATATAGTTCTTGTTCAGTGACTTGATGACGTTGTTAAAATATCACATTTGCTGTCTATTAAATTAAAAGCAACTTTATTCTACAAGGTAGGGAAAAAAAACCTAAACCAACCAAAAGAACTCTGCCTCAGTTATTGCTCCACAGTATCTTCTCCCTTCCCCTTCTCTTTCTGATGGCGCAGTCTTTAGAAATGCTTCAAACTGTTCCTGAGTGAAAGTAAAAAAAAAATAAAAATAAGAGTTCTTTATTCATCTATTTATTTATTTAAGCTTACTGCTTGGCTTGTGAATGCTGCTAACATACACATTCAGATTCGTATCAATGCGTAATGCTTGTTTATAGTTGTCTTAAAATCCCTTTGGTTCAAAAGGTGTACATTCATTTTGCTGAAAATACTTCATCTTCCTTTGAAGTACCTTAATCCTGATATTGAATGAATTTAGGCTTTTAGTATTAGGCATGTAATTGTGTAGTAAATTAAGATCCAACTCCAAAAATTTTGGAGCTTTAATTTATTAGTTCACATGTTCTCCATAGTGCTGATAATTTCTACTATTCTTCACCAGCAGGCCCCCTCTCCCCTCAGTCTCTACTGTATATTTATTACTGGGTGAGCAAGAACTAAGATAATATCGGATGCTGGTGTTAATTGTGTGGAACTTGTTGCTCTCCAGGAAAGGTACTTACATTGATGTGTGCAATTTACTTGTTACAGCTGGTTATTGTGTAATTACTTATATCCTTGGAGTTGGAGATAGACATCTGGATAATCTTTTGCTAACAAAAACAGGTAATTCTTTTTAGCATTATACCTTTATAAAGGGTTTTTTTAATTTCTAATGTGTTGGTACTGTTTTTGCTCCATTTACCTTGTGAGTATGACCCACTAAGTAATGTAGGTTGAAATATATTAATCGCTCTCTAAACAAATGAGTAGGCAAGGTACGCGTATCTGATACTTGGTTTTATGTATTGGAAGTCTAAGTTCAATACAGACATGTTTACAAGCACTCGAGTTTTTATACAATTTTCAGTTGGCTTGTTTTACAGTCCTGTGTTCTAATATAATTTTTTTTTAACTATGAAATCTGGATCTGTAAGTTGTTTTTTGTTGAACACAATTTTCTTGAGTGATGCTACCTTTTTTGAAAGTAGTAACAACATAGTATGTTGTAAAATTTTACTGCTTTTGCCTAAAGCCGAGAAACTTCACTGTTGCCTTAAACTTGATTAAAATCATAATTAAGGTGAGATTTTTTCAGAAATCTTGGTCCAAAGCTGAAAAAAAAGTACACATGGAAAAATATTTGTGAAATCAGTCCTATGCCAAGTATTGGAATTGTTCTTTTACTACGCCATTTAATTTTTCATTAGATTGTTATATCCCTGGTTAGTAGTTCGTTGCGTTTTTAATTGTGCTATCAGAAAGGCAATTCAAAGTCTACTAGTTGGATGCCAGTTGTATTTTAATAGTTGTCAAATAATTCTGCTTTTTTATGTATGCTGTTCCCAGGACGGTATATGTTTAGACAAGAATCAGCACTATTCTTGGAATTAGTATAATCTCGGTGACTTCGCTGAGAGGTCCATGTGAATTCTTGTCTCAGGTTTGGCTTTCTTTTAAACAAAGCGGTTCTGTGAGCTTTCCAGTTCTGTATATTTTTCTAAGAAATTTACATTTTATGTCCCAGAGGTGAGAATGACATGTAAGACATGGGCGGAGTAAGATTCACTTGAGTATTTTCTATTCCTTATGAATTCTGTGTTCTTGAAGAAGTCAAAGTATTTCATTATCAGCCTGGCTGATAAGCTGGCTGGACATTCAGTTCCACTTAATATTATACATATCTTTTTAGCCTTCTTTAAAAACAAAGAAGAAAATGGATTCCTTGGCATCCTGCTCATTACGATTTTAGAGCTTGGGGAGAGAAAAGGGTGGAAGTTACTGTTTAATCAATTATGCCATTTAGCTTGAAGCAAAACCCATGTAGCTTGAAAGTTCAAAATAGCGGATTGGTATTTTGATGCTTCCTAACTTATTTTGTCTTTCTTAATGTTATTTTTTCTAGCCATCTATATGTATTAATAACAGACCAGGTATAGTGAATAATTCCAGTGATTCTAAATAAAAGAAGATTTTTCTACTAGAGGAAATGAAGGATTTGAAGATTAAGCTACTTCAACTATTAAAATCAGTGCCTTGAGGCAGAGGGAAACTCAATTGTTTTCATGTGTAGCTGCATGAACCTCACAAAGTTATAAGAAACAAAAAACATTTCCTGTAGGGGGAAATTTTTTTTGAGTTTTTTTTTGTTGTTGTTGTTGGAGTTTCTCTTGTTTGCGTCCTGCTTTTGAACTAAACCTTCCCTTAGGAGTTCTGATGCCTTGAATACCTTCATTACCTCGTGATGAGGAGTTGTGGTTAAGTGTTTATAATAAAGTGAAATGTTTATTGAATGAGAAACATGTAAATAAAATACATTATTTGGGGAAAAGAGACACATCCATGTGAAAGGCCCATTACTGTACAGATAAGGCTGAAGAGAATTGGCACACTGTGTGGAAGAGTAGATAATTAACCATTGGGCCGTGATAATGATAAAAGCTTTTGCTCTAAGCACATGGAGGAAGGACTGAAGCAAATGTGTTTTTCCTTATCTGCTTGGAAATGTACAAATGAGTATTTAGAAGTCTGTCCTGAGAGGTCTCTTACCTGTCTGTGTTAAATGTAAGAACACTATGGCTGTTTGGCTTTGTGGAAGAATTTTG